GTTGCTTATTGTAGATGGCTCAGTTGTCTGCCTGGGACAGTATCTTGTACCTTATGTGGATTCTTTTACATAGTTCTCCAAAGCAATGCAGTTGAGGAGGAGGATGGGGTATTGTTGACCACAGACTGGCTGAAACAGCAGCATCCCCAAGGCTACACACCTATTAAATGGAAGACTCTAAACTCAAACCCAGGCAGTCTGACTCAGAGGATGCTCTTCTCTGCTAGTAAAGTCTGTGTGTGCCCTGTTATTAAAATTAGCTAATTATAACAATACTACCTCTCTTAAGGGTAATAGTTTTTATAGAACTCTTTCTTATACAAAGGAATCTTTGATCATGAGGTGGCAGAGGAATAAAGTGAAGGGGCAAGTCATCTCTTTAGATTATGGAGGTATCACTTTTCCAGCCAACTTGTCAAACAGCCTTACTAAGTCTAGGTTGGATTTCAAACTAGGATCTATAATTTTTCTTATTTTGAGATAAACATGATTTGTAATCTATATAATAAAAGCCTAAGCAACCGTTATGGCAGAACAACCAGAACATCTGGTTGCTATGATGCACACTAACCACCAGTGGGCAGACACTCAATGCAGGAGCTGCCCCCTGGTGATCATTAAGCTTCCACAGAGGGATTATATTAAATCTCAGCCAGAAGCCAGGCTCAAGGCTGGCAAGTGCAGCAGCAGTGGCAGGACCCTCTCCCGCCTCCACAGCAGAGCTAAGGAGCAGCAAGCTAAGCAGTAAGGAACAACAAGCAGGCGGCGGGTAAGAAGTGAGGGCGTCCCAGACTATGAGAAGGCACAAGCTGGGCTGAGGGGCCATCCCTTCCTTTCCCCCCAGTGCACAAATTCTGTGCACTGGGCCTCTAGCGTTACTTATAGCTGTCTTTAAAGCTTATCTTTTACTAACAAAGCAATTAGGATTTTCCATAGAATAAGGCTCATAAATTATTTTCCTTTAGTTTCTCCTTGTTTATTTCCCTCATCTTTTTCTTTCATTAAACCTCTATCTTGTTCTTTTTTTTTTTTTTTTTTAAATATTCCAATAGAAAGTGTTCATTTTTTAAAAAATACAGAGCTTTTTAAAAAATTAATTCTAGGTGATTGCTTTATTTTTCAGAGCTTTTTACTAAATATTCACATTTAAGGTATTTCGCCCTCTTTAGATTGGCCACAGGCTTTCTATTCATAACAAATTTGCTAGTATATTTATATGATCAAATTGTAGTAAGAAAAGATTTATGTTTAATGTTTCTAGCTGTGTAGATTTTTACAGAATCATGATGCAGCTCCAATACTTTCTTATGTAGTAAGAGAGGGGAATGGCTCCCCTAGGTAAGCTTTTAAAATAAGAATAAAGAAATTAAAATAAGCGTTTCTTGTAAAAGTATGTTGTCGTCTTTATCAGCATTTATTTAAATGCTCCTGTTCACATGCCCCAAAAACACTGAGGTGGTCTTCAGTGGCAGAATGGTGGGTTTGTAAGATTCATGAGAGTCCATGTCAAGTCCAATTTAATTCCAGAGCAATCATGCTATTAAACATCGCTTATTGCCTCAGTGCCCATTGTTCAGCTTAACCTTTAAATGCTAGTGATAATTAACTACTTTATTGTTCTGTCAGGAAACTCCAGCATGTCTCTGATCTACAGTAAAATTCACAAATAAAATACTGCTATTTGTATGTGCCAATAAATAAGCATAAAAATCTAAATAAGCATTATCTTTTGTATTAATTTTTAAGAAAGTACTTAATCATTGTTTACAAACCAATTTGTCCTTTTGGATAGAGTGGAAATAACTTTCAATAAAGTATATCAGAATCAAAATAACCAGATAGTTATTAATCATACACATGTACATTAATTTTTAAAAATATCAAATTAGTAGGATTAAGACATTTAGAAGTAGGTTATCACTTCTCCGTCTTTTGGCTAACATCAGTTGTAGAAGTGGTGAAGTAGTAAAGGTAAAGAAGAGACAGAGATTCCATACTGCCAATTCCAAGGGCATCACTACTCAGATCTTACTGTAGCAAAGGATTTCCCTTGGAACTGTTCAACCTAAAGGACAATCTGAAGGGGATTGTATCATAGGAATTCGGGATTAAGATTAAGGAGTACAGAGGAGATGTTTTGTCATTTGTGTTCAAAACATTTCTGGGCAGTTCTGTGCTGCTCCCTATGCCAGCTTTCCCTGCCCCCAAGACTCTACAGCCTAGAGTGGGAAGTGGCCTTGCAAACACATAGCCATAAATTGATAATCAGGGCTCTGTTCCTTGGGTGAACAAAATGTTAAAGGAACAGAGGAATGAGTGAGAATTCTACCTACCAATATCTGAAGGACCTTTGAAAAGTGATAGTGAAGCTGATTTTTTACAGAGAGGAAGGGAGAGGGATAGAGAGCTAGAAACATTGATGAGAGAGAAACATCAATCAGCTGCCTCCTACACACCCCCTACTGGTGTTGTACCTGCAACCAAGGTACATGCCCTTGACCGGAATCGAACCTGGGACCCTTGAGTCAGAAGGCCGATGCTCTATCCAATGAGCCAAACCAATTAGGGCAAAGCTGGTTCTCATGAATGAGGAAATTTCAAAAGATGCTGAGGGAAAGGGCATTCTCAGGAGCCTGGCAAAAAGACTACAAATGCAATATAAATACATGGAGAATCGGGGGACTATAAGCTCATGGTGCTGAGAAAAGCCAGGACCCTGCATCAGGGCAAGAAGGGAAGGCCTCTAGTAGAAAAGAAAATCAACTCAGAAATTTGGATGGTGGGAAACCATTTGTTGCTTTTTTTAGGGATTCAGTTTGTTGAATATGTTGGAAATATTAGTCCCAGAAATGTAGAGGATAGACTGGGGAGGGGAGAAACGAGATCTGGGCTCTAGCATTAACACTGGTAACTCACAGATGATGGTTATGTGCATGATTTCAGTGGAGCAGTGGTTATGAAAACCTGAGTTCATTGGGCCATGGTGTGAAAGCAAAGCAGAAGCATTGAACCAAGTCTACGTCTTGGGATGGAGGACTCAGTGGAGATATATATGATAGTTAAGAAGCAATCTACTTTTAAAATCGTTTGGCTTCTAATGTTTGGTTTCAGTCTTCATCTTTACTAAATAATACCTGCCATCTATTCTGCCACTAAGCTTAAGGCTGGATGAACATTTGATAAGGATAGTTACAGGTTTTGGTGCATGCATGAAGAGTATTTATAAAAAACCTTGAGATGAACTGGTACAGGAAGGAAGAATTTAGAAATACTCAGCCCCTATTAGTGGGAATCCACTCACTAGTAATTCTGATGGTTCTCCTCTATCTAATCGAAACCGGTTTGGCTCAGTGGGACATACTTCAGGGCAAACCAGCCAGCCCCCTCCCATGCACCAGGCCTCTATCCTATTTAATAAAATAGTAATATGTAAATTGACCATCACTCCAACACACAAAAGGACTGCCCCCATGTGGTCAAAGATCCTGCTCCCATGTGGACACAGATGGCTGCCACGAGATGGCCAGCAGGGGAGGGAAGATGAGAGGGTCCAGACCTGCAAGGGAGGGCAGTTGTGGGTGATCAGGCTGGCAGGGGAGTCGTTAGGGGGTGATCAGGCTGGCAGGCAGAAGTGGTTAGGGGCAATCAGGAAGGCAGACAGGTGAGCAGTTGGGAGCCTGCAGTCCCAGATTGGAGAGGGTGCAGGTTGGGCTCCCATGCATGAATTTCGTGCATTGGGCCTCTAGTATTTCATAAATGAGTGAGATCATGTGATACTTATCTTTCTCGGACTGGCTTATTTCATTTGGCACAATGCTTTCTAGTTCTATCCATGCTGTTGCAAATGGTAAGAATTCCTTCTTTTTACAGCAGCGTAGTATTCCATTGTGTAGATGTACCACAGTTTTCTAATCCACTCATCTTCCGATGGGCATTTAGGCCTGTTTCCAAATCTTAGCTATTATAAATTGTGCTGCTATGAACATAAGGATGCATATATTCTTTCTGATTGGTGTTTCTGTTTTCTTGGGATATATACTTAAAAGTGATATTACTGGGTCAAATGGCAGTTCCATTTTTTATTTTTATTTTTTAAAATGCTATACATTTTCTAAAACATTTTAGAAAATGTTTTCCACAGTGGCTGTACCAGTCTGTATTCCCATCAGCAGTGCAACAGGGTTCCTTTTTTCTCAGCATCCTCTCCAGCACTTGTCCTTTGTTGATTTGTTGATGATAGCCATTCTGACAGGTGTGACATGGTACCACATTGTCAATTTGATTTGCATCTCTCTGATGATTAGTGACTTTGAGCATGTTTTCATATGTCTTCTGGCTTTCTGTATGTCCTCTTTCAAAGTGTCTATTTAGGTCCTTTGCCTAATTTTTGATTGGGTTGTTTACCTTCCTTTTATTAAGTTGTATAAGTTCCCTATAAATTTTGGAGATTAAACTCTTATTGGAGATAACATTGGCAAATATATTCTCCCATGCAGTGGTATTCCTTGTTGTTTTGTTGATGATTTCCTTTGCTTTGCAGAAGCTTTTTATTTTGATGTAGTCCTATTTGTTTATTTTCTCCTTAGTTTCCATCTCTCTAGGAGTGGTGTTGGTAAAGACATTGCTGCGACAAATGTCTGCTATTTTGCTAAGGAGTTAATTTTATGGATGCTCCTTTTCCCTTTTTCTCCTTGTTTTTCTCTCTATATGTTTTCTTTTCACTTCCTCCTCTCTTCTATTTTTTGTTACCGGCTTTGCAAGTGTGTATAATACTAATGAACAAAAAGGAGATAAAGTCTCAAATGATCAATGACTTATATGCTTGCACTTAAGCATACCCAATGGACACAGACACTAGGGAGTGAGGACACAAGCTGGGGAGAGTAAGGGGTAATGGGGGGATAAGGACACATATGTAATACCTTAAAAAATAAAATAAAATACCCCACATTGTTTAGTGGCTGATGGTCTCTCAACCCTGCTTCTCTTTCTGATTTCAGAGCTCTTCAGTATCCCCGTCAGCCAGTTTCCGAGGTGCTGAGAAGCACAGAAACTCCACAGACTACTCCTCTGATAGCAAAAAGCAGAAAACTGAAGAAAAAGAAATTGCAGCTCGTTATGTAGGTTCATTCACCTTTGCTTTGGAGGAGGCCAGTTTATCTTGCTTTTTATCTATGGCCATGTTACCCTTTAACTGTTACCAGCCAAAACTAGAATACAGGATAATAATCTCCTAAGAGTGTGTGTGTGGGGGGGAGGGGGCTGGGAGGTCAAAGTTTCATCTTAACTGATAACCCTGATTAGTATGGGTGCAGGAGTGAGGAGTGTACACATGTATTGACAAGAACAGAGTACTTGATCTGGCAAAGAATTGAAAACTTGGGTATTCCATATTATTATTTCTATAGATGTATTTGTTTCCCTCCATATATTTCCAGGTGGCTGAATTTTTTGTGGTCAGCTAGAAATGTCAAAGAAAAATATAAAATCATAGAAAACATCACAATGTTTAGGTGACCTCCTGTGCTAAGGAGGACAGAGGTCTATGGCCTGGGACTTGCAGAGACATCCAGTATGTCCCTGGTATTGGTTGGCACTCATTTTTCTTCAGTGACTGGTTCCTTTGGTCACAGAGTAAAGGGAGCAAGCCAGATGGGACAGGGATGGAGACAAGCAGTCCCCACTTAACTTCCTGTGATCTTGCCTAGCAGGACTGTAGGTGGGGTGGAAGGGCTGAAAATAAGGGTTTTCATCTGAAAACTGCCAATTTTAAAATTATGGCTACTTACCCAGTTTTTTTCTAAAACACTAACAGAACATATCATACCCTTGTGTAGGCAGATCCAGTGTGGGTGTGCCAGTTTGCTGCTGATACTATACAGTAACAAGGAAGCTATAAGCTTCCAATTTTTCAAACTGTAGAGTAGAATCATCATACTACCTACCTCAGAGCTTCCAGCATGAGGATTAAAGGACATAATACACTGTAGAGTGTTTAGCATCATTTGGTACAGTTCATTTTTGTAAGACATGACCAGTTAGTCTGGACTTAACTAATGTGATTTTTTTTTTTTAAATGGGGGGAGGAGATAATACTTGTCACTTGTTAATACAGGACAGCGATGGTGAGAAGAGTGATGACAACTTGGTGGTTGACGTTTCCAATGAGGTATGTTTACGGCTCATTTAGCTTCCTGTTTTTACCCAGCTTTAACAATGACTAGTGTCCTAACAATTGGTATCTTCAATATTTTCTTAATTTTTAAAAGTACCTGCTTTATATTTACTTGGAAATTTTGCGTATTACTGACTTTCTATGTTACCGATGCTTGTTATTGAAATTATTTTCTATGATGTACAAGTGTGTTTTGCTACCACCCCAAATGCACACCAGATCTCTGTATTAGCCTATAGATCTTATTGACAAGGGACTTGCCAATTTTTAGAGTTTGGATTTTTGTTTTAAATAAATACTATAAATTTGTAGTATTTTCTTTGACCTCGATACTGAATATTTTCTTCAGTGATTCAGTGACTGTTATCTATTCCAGAATATTTTGCATTTCTAAACTATTAAATACTTACAGTTAGAAACGTCCACACCCAAGTACTCCAGCATTATGAATGTTCTGTGCTGCATTAATACCTGAGATGTTACTTTGTAGGATCCCTCTTCCCCTCGAGGGAGCCCAGCACATTCCCCCAGAGAGAATGGCCTGGACAAGACTCGCCTGCTCAAGAAAGATGCCCCCATCAGCCCAGCCTCAATTGCATCCTCCAGCAGTACTCCTTCCTCCAAATCCAAAGAACTTAGCCTTGTAAGCAGTTCACCATCTTTCTCACTGTTGCTATTTCAGGATGGTTGGGTTTGACATTTTTTTTTCTTTTCACATTTTTCTATAGGACATTTATTTCCAAATATATGTATATGTTCAGCATTCAAGTTTAATTGACAAGCATTTTTGGAACAGATGGGTTTACCGATTTGTCAGTGATGGGTGTTTGTTTTGTGAGTCTTTCTGCAAGGCGAGAGTGGGAGGTGGGAACGTTGAGTAATACATGTCTTAGTGAAGATGAAGAAATGCACACTGGGGTCACAGATAGTTTTGTCACCTGTGGTTTATGGTAAATTTAGTTTTTGGCATGGATGTGATTTTGTTGCTAGTTTTGGTTGAATTACCATGCTATATATGACTGTAATAATTTTCCTTTTCTATCTAAAAAAATAATCTTTCTTTTAAAAAAATTCACCTTGACTGATACTACAAATCAGAAATGCAATTGAAACTGCTGGCAAGTCAGGGTGATCTCCTCAAAACCCCCTCTGTGGCTATGCAGTTAATTTTGTTTTTTTTGGTGGCACCCTCCTCTTTCCTCACCTGTTATTTCCTTGTAACCTAACATTAACAAGAACAAAAGTACAAATTTAGTTTTTAAGTAACCTTTTGAATTCACTGCTAAAGGAAAAAAAAAAAAATCAACAGTTTTTCTGCAAATTAATGGACTATGTCTGACCAGGAGCTAGATTAATTTTTTTGTTTGTTTGTTTCTCTGGCCTTTTTGCCTTTTCAGAATGGCAACTCCTCTGCTGATCTGTATGATGACTCAGGCTTGGATCTTTTCTAAGGGGATCTGTTAACCTGGAAGTCTCAGTGACTTAAACTATCCACCAGGAGCCCAAATCAAACCATTCAGTCTTAAAACCACCAGCAAGTGGTGGTCATAGAACGCATGACCTGTTCGCATCCATAGGACAGTCACCAGTTTTCTGGAAGTAGTTTACTTGACTCTAAATTCACCTTCCTTGTATGTTCTCCTGGACATTGGTTTTGTGGTCTCAGGGAACTCTTTTTAGCTTTCTTTAATTAATGAAAATAAAGGCCCAGGCTGAAGAACCTTTTCCTATTGTTTTTTTTTTCTTTACCTTCTTTTAAAATGTAAAACATCACTGTTTTTAAACATAATTCTTAAAACTGTGTTCTCATTGCATCTCTTGTTAGAATGAAAAATCTACTACTCCTGTTTCAAAGTCCAATACCCCTACTCCACGAACCGACGCACCCACCCCAGGCAGTAATTCCACTCCTGGATTGAGGCCTGTAGCTGGAAAACCACCAGGCGTCGACCCCTTGGGTTAGTAAAAAAAAAAGTTTTCTCCATATTTATATGTTGCTTGATTTTTATAGAAATTAAAGCAGCTTAAAGAATGTAGTCCTTTAAGAGTTAATAACCAGCATTTTTTGCCTGTTTGACAAAGTTTCTTAACCCGACCAGGCACGATGTCTGGCACATAGTAAATGTTTAATAAAATAAAGTGAATGAACAAATTCTGATGAAGGCCTGGATGATTTTTGAGAATATAAAAATAAGCTTATTTGAATCATCCTATTTTTAATGTATATAAGAATGTCTGACTTCATTATTGTTACCTATGTTCTTTGTTTTTCTCTTTCCTCTTTGTCTGTAGCTTCAAGCCTAAGGACCCCAATGGCAGTTCCTTGTCCATATCCAACCCCGTTTGGGATCGTGCCCCATGCTGGGATGAATGGGGAGCTGACCAGCCCTGGAGCTGCCTATGCAGGGCTGCACAACATCTCCCCGCAGATGAGTGCTGCTGCTGCTGCCGCCGCTGCTGCGGCTGCTTATGGGAGATCACCAGTGGTACGTCTGTGGTTTTTACAAAATAAACATTTCAGGGCACAGAGGATAATAATTCATGTTCAGTGTGTATTTATAAATTAAACTATATGTAATTATTTCATGATATCTATTTTCTTTTGTAAGGAGGGAATTTCTTTTTTATTTTTCATTTTTAAAAAATCTTAAATCTACCGAAGGATAGCAAGTATTTCAATAATTTTGTGAGTGCTTCCTTTTCATAATAAGCATGAGTAATTATTAGTATATTTTTATGTATGTGCCACTCCCAATTATGTTACCTAGAAATCATAAACATCCCATCATTTCATCAATAAATAGATAACTCCATATATGTTTCTAAAATGTTATTTTTAAAGAATCTGTCTCCCAGGCTTTAGAAAAGATATTGAGCAAGATGAAATGAGTAAATGTAACTCTCTGTTTTTATTATTTTGCTTGCAAAAAAAAAAAAAAATGTAGGTTGGATTTGATCCACACCATCACATGCGTGTCCCAGCAATACCTCCAAACCTGACAGGCATTCCAGGAGGAAAACCGTGAGTACCTCTGTCCCCCCAGCTCACTGTGCACTAGGCTCTGGGTTCTGCTGGCCCTTTAAACTTTGGGCACTGCTAGACAGTGTAGGGCAGTTCCTGCGGCTTGCCTTTTTTTTCCATTTTCTCTTAGCATAAGGAAAGAGGTAATGAGGTGAGGTTTGTGTTTTCAATTTAAAATCTTGAGCTGCTAATATGAAAATGCAAATTGCTGAGGCGTCTCCAGCAGTCAGGTTTTCTCTACGTCTGTTACTGTTTTCAAGGCAATTCTTTTGTTGCCTTAAAAAAAAAAGTCTCATATGTAAACCTGGATGCTCAAAATTTGAGCATGTTGGGAAAAGACATGCCAGACTTCAAAGGCTGAAAAGAAAGAAGTGTGGTTTTATGCTCAATTGTGTTTCCGGAAAAGTGGCTTGCTCTGTTGTCAGCTGGCTTCTTGTCTTGGGATCTGGATATTTGGAGTTCCTCTATTCATAGCACCCCTTGAGTCATGAATGCGAAACTTGTACACATCATTGTTCCAGCCTCTTCTTGTACATTCTGATCTTGCCATATCTCATTCCACATCCTTCTTTTCAATCCAGTATAATTTTCAATTAATATAACCGTAGACAGGTCTCTCTGCTATTTGGCTTCATAATCCCAGATACAAAACATCTATACTAATGAAAAAGAAATATGCAAATTGACCCTTCCTCCATGATGACCACCAGCCAATCAGGAGTGAGTATGCAAATTAACTCAGCAAAGATGGATTAATTTGCATACATAGACTTGGAGCAGCAGAGGGGGGGCAGGATGCCTGCTATGATGAAGAGGGTGAGGGTGGGGGGAGACAGAGGGAGTTATAGGAGTGGTGCTCTGGCTGGAGTGAAGGTGGAAGGTAGTGGCCTGAGCGAAGGCCTAGGACCTAAGTGCTGGATGAAAACCAGTGTCGACAGCCAGGGGAAGGAAGGCCAATTCTTGCACAAATCTTTGTGCAACAGGCCTCTAGTTTACTATAAAATAACACTGGATTTTCCTTTAAAATCCCAGCTCGATTCCTCTCTTTTGGAAAGCATCCCATCAGTCCCTCTCTACCTTATCAGTCACATGTGTTTTCTATCCTCATTTCTCTTTCCTGTGGCATCCTGTCTGTCACACACTGTATACATGCTGCTTCCCCAATCACTAGTGCTTTCTCACTTGCCCTCTGCTTTCCAAATTCAGCCTTTAGTAGCAGCCAAATCCCCTTGGCACAGAGGCCTCCCTACTGGCTTGCTTACCTTGGGACATTTGCTTTCTCTGATCCTTTGTGCACATTCAGGTCTTCTGTGGCCTATTGTCTCACTTTGGGTCTCTGCTAAGATGTCAGTTTGAGTGTTCATCCCTGACAGCCCTATCTAAAATAGCATCCTGCTCGTCTTTCCTCCCCATCATTGTTCCTTTTTGTTCCTTGCCATTTTCATACTTGTCTATAGCCATTATCTGTCTCTCCCCACTTGAATGTAAGTTCCATGATAACAGAACAGAAGAGCTCTTGGCTGTTCAGTTACAGAAGTAGCTCCAGTGCCTAGAATGGTACCTGGTTCACAGTTGTTGATCACAATTTATACCTATTGGGTGCATGGATGAAAGAAAGAAAATATGTGCCAATCTCTCCCTTTTCTGACTTCCCATTGCTTAGTTATTTACTAAGTATACACTCAGGGACTGGTCACCTTTTTATCTCCTAAGTGTTCTCTTTCTCTCCCCAAGTTGCCTGCCCCTCAGTCTTAATCATCCCTGACCATGACCCTTTTCTTCACTTTCCCCCTGTTATATCAAACTCTTGGTTCTTCCTTCTGTAACTTACTCCTTTACATACTCTTTTCTGTTGGATCAGACACGTGCTGGCTCCGTAGTCAAGTTGCTCAGTAAGTATTTGACTGATTATTAAGGGAGGCAAGACAAATTAGACTTCAAGTTCCTTGAGAGTTGAAGGTATAATCAATTATAAAATTCTATGTACGTATGTGTGTTCTGCAAATAGTTGTTTACTGACAAGTTTTGTTGACCAAGAACTTTGATGTATTTGAAGGTGAAAAGTTTGGTCTATTGCAAGCAGTGACTAAATAACAAGGTCAAAGGATTAATCAAATAACTCAAATACCCATGAGTTCTATATGAAGCCATGGGGATGGAGGGGTTCCTTAGGAAAAAGGCATCATCCAGTGTTCAGGTACTGAAGTCACTGCTTAAACAGCATTTTCACCCACAGCTATAGTAAAATCACCAGAGCAGATGAGGTGATGCTTCTCTCAGCTGCTGCCCAGTGGCTCCCTTCATTCCCCTAGTCTTGACTTTCAGTATTCTAAACATTGTGAAAGCCTTTTAGAAGGCTTGATGGGTTGGAGGATAGTTAAGAAATGTTGTTCCTAGGAGTGCTAAGAGTCACAACTAATGTAATTGGCAGATGACACCAGGAATTCCAGAGAATGTGGTATGGTCCACAAAGTATGGCTTCCGGAGTGAGACAGATGCAAGTTCGATTCTGACTCTGCCAATTTACAATTGTGAAGAGAGTGACTTTGGCAGTTTTTTAATTTAGTGAGCTTCAGTTGGCTTATCTGTAAATTAGGGCTTGCATCACCAGACAAGGAGGATATGAGGATGAAATAAGATAATATGTTACATGTTTAGTACCCTGTTTGATACAGAGTGGCTATTCAATCAACTACAGTATTACTTTCTGTTTAGCTTTGCCCCAGTTTTTCAACCTCATGTTATAGGGTGCAAAAGTGGCCAAAGAAGTTTAGATTGAGTACATTAAGTTACATATTCCTGTTATTGCGATGTCTTTCTATAACAGGGCACCAAAGCATAAATTCACATTTATTTATGTGTATAGAGATAATATACTTTTATTATAGACTAGAGGCCCGATGCACGGAGATTTGTGCAAGAATAGGCCTTCCTTCCCCTGGCTTCGCTCCTGGCTGTCCAGGAGCCTACAGGTCCTCGCTGCAGCGAGAGCACCATTCCTGTAGCTCCCTCTGAACCTGCCCTCTTCCTCATAGCAGGTGTCCCGCTCCATGCCTACATATGCAAATTAACCCACCAAAACAAATTTTCCGGGGTAAAATAGGACAGGTTTAGGAAATATTAGAAATTTTGGAAATTATGGGGACCATGGAGGAAGCACAATGCTGCAGAGCAGCAGAAGGTATATTTTCCTAGAATGGAGGAGCTGGAAAGCTGCAACATGTACATTTTCATAGAATGAGGGTGCTGGGAACAGCAAAAGGACTATATTTACAAAATAAAGAGAAGGAAACCCTTCATTCAGAAGGAGAAGAAGAAAGCCCAAAGGGAATAGGACAACAAACAATAAGGAAGGAGGGGAGAAAACCTCCTATGTGAGGTTCAACCTTTGATCCCAGGAGTTACTATGGTAACCAGTCTAAGGAAATAGTGACCAATCAAAGTGTTTATCAAGGCACCAGTATCTGCAGCCTTTATAAGCCCTGGGGAAAAAGAACTCAGTGGAACTCTTCCCCCTCTCTACATGGGAGTCCATTCTGTGGGACTCTTCCCCCTCCCTACATGGGAGTCTGTACTTGTTCTTCAATAAATCTCCATCTTTGTTATACCACTTTCTGTCCATGGATTCATTCTTTAATTCCAGTGGACAAAGAATCTGGGTTCCATTCCAAAAATTTGGTATCATTGCCATCTTTGGTTAATTTTCATACTCACTCCTGATTGGCTATTGGTTTATCGGAGAAATAGTCAATTTACATGTTTGTTAGGTAATATGTTTAGAAAAGAAATGATTTTACTGATTATGTGACTTTTCAGATTATAAGATATAAAATTGTGAAACTTTGTGTTGTGCATACTTTTCAACAGAAAAAAATAAATACTTTTTGTGTTAGAACATCTATAATATATATATGAAAGGCTAATATGCTAAATGTTCATCTGGGTAATGACATCAGGTAGCAATGCCCAGCTTTCTCTTTCTAACGAATAGCCTCCTTGCAGTTTCTTCAGCCCAGGAACACTACTTGCTTTATAGCCAGATGGAAACATTTTACACTTTAACCAAATGTCTGTGAAGTGATCCTCACTAAAGTCCTGGAGTAGGTAGAGAGGAGACTCGGTGGAATCCTATTTTCATTAGCTGGAAAATGGAGATTTAGAAAGCTTAGAAACTTGAACCTACTGAAAAGAAGTAAGAAATGATGGAACTTGAAAATGAATTCAGGTTTTCTCACTGCACAGAATATAGTCAAACAATGCTGCAATTAAATAGTTTACTCTTTGTTCTCCCTGTGTGATCTACAATAATAACCTGCTTCGTGTTGATATTTACTGCTGTGTTTCTGACAATTACCTGAAAGAGAAGTTGGTGTGTTTCACTGGGCTGGAAAAAGTTTAGTTAAATCAGAAATCAGGTCTAATTAAGCAATTTTATCTATATATATAAAAGGCTATGTTGACTCGTGCATGCACGATTCATATAAAGCTCTCATTGGTGCCAGTCGCGCACATGTTTTGATCTGTCATTGTCAATTGTGAATTTAGTTGACACTTCTATTAGAGAGAAAGGGTGAATAGTAATATTAAAATATTTCTTATAATTAATTTCCTTTCAATGTGCACAAATCCATTCACCAGGACACTAGTAAAACATAATAAATCACCTAAGGTCACTCCTCTCCCCCCCCCCCCCCCCCCACACACACACAGTAACTGCCTTTCCCCAGAAAGATTTTAAGAATTGAGCATCTCTGACTTAATTAGTTTTATAAAATGAATTGCTAGATTTTATAAAAAAAAATTATAATTAAATGCATGTTCCAAACTAATGAATAAAATAGCATTTATTTGATAATTCACATGGGGTGCTCTAGTCTCTTCTGGTGAATTAGCAAGGGTTCCACTCAGTGTATAATTGGAATGACAACATAGTTTAAATTCAACATAAGCCAAAATGGACTTTCTCTCTCAACTCTGCTTAAATGAGGCTTCTATAAATA